AAAGCCCGAAAATAAAATATATAGTAATAATTAACTTATGAGGGAGGAGTTGAGTTGACATTTCCTTAGTACTAATTAACTTTCCTTCATAAGAGAATGCCAACTCAGCTCCTCCCTTCTTGACACATCAGCTTTCAAAAATCATGTTAATATCTAGTATTTAAATAAAAAATAACACTTCCATCTCAAAATTCTTGATCAACAAAACCATTAAATTCCACATTTCCAACTTTAATTATACGTTTAGTACGCCTCTTTTAAGATTGTAATTCACTCTCTCTCTTTTGATCGATTAACATTCAAATTCAGTTCCTCTCTCTTTCCGAGAAGACGTCTTCCTCTATCTTAGTATTCTCATAGAATTTCGTTTCAGTATTTATTTCTTGCTTCAATCTTGAACTAAATTGTAAATTTATATTTGCTTCATTCTTTGTTTCGCTTTCTAAACTTTGGTAGCCAACCAACTCAAATTCTCTTTCTCGCACGAGCTTTGTCTCACATATCATGTCGTTTCATATGATATCACTACGTCGCATGTAAGTTTCACTATGATATCTCCATAATTTTTGTAAATCCAGATTCATGTATTAGTTTCAAGATTTATGTGTATTGGGTTTTTTGTAAGACAAAATAAAATTAATATATAAAACCTAAAACTTTCTGAATTTTGTCATTTGAGTGTATGAATTGTAGATAGTCAAGCAACATAACTTGATAATTTTTTTAGCCTCCAGAACATCAAGAATAACTTCTAAGAATGAACCTTTATAGACAATAACAACATGAGTTTAAGAACATCACAACACTATATGTTGGAGACTTGATGCATATCTTGAAGAATGGATCCAGAGTTAGGATGTAAAATTCAGTTTTCCTAGACTAGATCTTGCACAATGTAATTCGAAGCTGTAGTTGGATTTGAATGTAACATAATTTTTTTAGTATTATATTTTTAGAACGTAATCAAACAAACAATCTTATTTAGGTGGATTATATGGGTTTGCTCTTGTGGTTATTGTTTTTTTTCTTTTTCTTTACTCTAAACCAGAGGTTTTTGTTGTTGTTACATGACTAACTTCTCAAGAAAACCCCAAAATGATTCATTAATCATGTCCAAATGAGATTTGGAATTTTGTCCGTGGTCAGTAAAAAATATACTCCTATGAAACCACCATGCATAGGCTGCATAGCACATCTCATATTTCCAAAATTTTAAATAAATTAAGGTTAACAAAAATATATTTATTACTCCAAATATATTTTCGATAGTCATAAATATTGACCTTGTTTTTGTTCTCATTTCCAAATTCCAACGAAGAANGTCGAAAGTAAAATAAGTTTCTTTAGATAAAAGGATTCATATGATTCGAAACAAGTGATTTCGAATTGGGAAGAAACTTAGTTAACATCAATGGACAATATGATAAATTTACACATTAAATCTTTAAAAAAAATATATTTGTTAAAAATAAATCGCATGTATAATCTTTAAAGAATATGTCTCTTTATTATGATAATTCAATTCATAATCAAATCATATGATAAATTCTAAGCTTTCTTTTCGGTTACAAAAACATATATAACCAAATGACTATTCCGATTTACTTTAACCAAACTATTAAACCTTTTCCAGATTTTAATATTCTGAAAAAACTATTTTAAAAGTAACATAAATAAAAATCATAAAAAAAAAAATTCTCACATGTACACACGGTTGTTCACCTAGTATTACTAATTTTTAACTTTTTTAGACAAATCATTTAATATCTAACTAAAATAAAATCAAGCAATCAAAAAATACTTCATGATAAACTAAAGCTCTGAATAGTGACGTCTCACACTGTCTCGTTCCGCACTAAATAGTTTCAAGTATCTATACTTATATATGTGTATTTAATAAAAATTTATACTTACACATGTATATTTATATGTTATTATTTGTCTCTCACTACATCTTTCTCGCAATCTCGGCGTTTCCATTCGGAATCTAATTAAAAGATCAAACAAAACAAATTTAAATTTGTATAAAAACTTGAAAAAAAGTCTAAAACATCTTCTAAAAATATAATAAGCGGTCTCCCCTCCTTGCTAAGATTCCAAGCGGAAAAATCCAACCCTTTAGGCAAAATAATTTCCACTCACAATTTAATAACTCTCTCTCTAAACCCCACTAGCTTCTCTCTCTAAACTCCACTACGATTATGGGAACTCTCGTCCTCGTTTAATGCGATTCATGACTCCTCAAAGCCCAGCATTCCCACACTCTTCAAATCACCTCTTAGCTTTAATTACCATTTGACCATTCTAAGTAAAATCTCTCTCCGTCTCTCCGTCTCTCCTTACACCATGTACTTGCGTATGGATCCATTTATGCATGTTTAAGCGTACGCCTACGTATGTATGTACATATACATATTGTATGAACTAAAGATCATTTACAGAATACAGCAAATGGGTTGGTTACTCTAAAGAAGCGATTAAATATTGATTTATTGTAGATCCCCGAATTCTCTCTCTTCTGCATGTGTACGTTCAAGCAATATAATAAGAGCTTCAGTAAAGTAACACTTCGTTAAAAAATAAAACTTGCATAAGAGATTTTCAAGAGAAAAGTATCTTCTTTTAATTGTTAGTTTAAAGTTTACTCATGGGG